GTTCTGTCTCTGCTCTTGAGTCCTTAATTTGCTCATGGTCCCCTTCCGTGTGTACACATGTTGTGGAGCCAACCCATGCTGCTGGTTATTCCCCTTCCTATACCCTGCCCTGCCTTGTCTCCTTGGGCAGCTCCGCTTGTAGAGGGTAACCTATTCTGTAGCACATCTTGCATGATGGCTCTTGCTCTTGCTTGGGCACTAGGTACTGCGCTAGTTCATGACAAAATTGATTGCTTTGGAGTCTGCTCTTCAGCGTGTCACTTTGAAAATTGTCCTCAAGCTTTTCTGCGAGCCTGGCTTCCTATGGGTTTGTCCAACACTGCTGACACCCCACAATGACAACACTTTTCTTCTTGTGGCTGCTTCACTGCCAGTACTCTCCAATCTTCTTCATCATATCCTCCACTCCTTCCTTTGTGTCCTGCGCACATCTCCACCTTCCCATCCCCCTGAAGTACTGCCAGATCCTTCTGGTATCCTCTACCTGTTTGGCTTGGCACACAGTTTCACGTGGCTGTGCTTGGTGAGGACCTTTGTGTGTGCTGGTTGGGATTTGGAGATCAAGAAAGGCAGATGGCTCTTGAACTCATTCTGAAGCGTTTCCAGCAATGTCACTTTGAGTTGAGGCTCTCTCTACCCTGCTGTTGATTCTTCCTGAAAGATGTATGGACTGGCCTCTTTGAGTCTTCTGTTCCTCTATCAGATTTGGTTGAAGATGGCTAGAGATTCAGAAGGTATCAGGGCAGTCTTGAGAGGTTGGACAGGGACAAGGTTGTCTTTAATCTCATTTCTATAGGGAAGCCAGGTTAACCAGAAGTGAAAGCCACAGAAAGGTGGCAAAGGAAGTATCGTTTTATTCTTGCCTGTAGGAGGAATGATATGGGGCACTGCGATTCTTAGGCTTGCTTACCCTATCCTTGTAAGATTTGTTCTGCTAAATGCAAGTACTGAACCTACCAGCTTGTCAGTGTGCGGCTTTGATTTAAGTTCAAGCTGAAAGCTGCTCACTGGTGATTGGGTTTCAGAAGGGTGATGCATGTGAGCAGTCGAATCCTTCCTGAACTATTTGTGACAATGGCTTGGACAGTATCTTGGGTACGGAGGGCTGAAAGAAAGAAGGAGAATCCTGGATGCACAGATCTTCTTTCTATTGGGTTTTTGGTATGCTGGTCTCCTGTATTTGGCCATGGCTCTACCGTTGTCCTCCAGCATATAACAGAAAAGTAACTTTTGCAACATGAGAATCTGTTAAATGCCATGATAAACATAGCTCTGGAAATTTGATTTTTTAATTTCATTTTACAGTGCTTAACGTTCTTGAGTTATGAACTGGAAGTGGGGGGAAGAACCGGAAAGGTACGTTGAGTGAGGTAGTGCTCTCCAACATTCAAGTCTGAGAAAGGTGTATGTTGGTAGGAAATGCTCATGCATCCCTGTTAGTCTTGTGTATGGTTCTGAGCCATTGCTCACCACTACACAATGCAGAGTACACAAAGTGGCTGCTGAACAAGGAGTTTGTTGCTTTCACAGCCGCCTCTTGTTTGTAGGTTTGAACAGTCTGTGTTCCTGGAAGAGGCTGCTAGACCATCGGGCAGTCAGCTTGCCTTGGCAGTTCATTACTGATGGACTGCTTTGAACAGAAATGAGCCCTGTGGTTGAAAAGAAAAACAATGAGCCAGAAAATTAATTTTAAATATATTTGTATCGCATTCCCTGGGAGAAGTTTGTTCCTATCTTTGGCTTTCTCCCTACATTTGGGAGGAGCTGCTGTTGTGGCTATTATTAGGAAGGTCTTTACTAGGAGTGAGGTTATCCAGTTATGACAACTTGATTTGAGGACATGCTTTTCATTAATAGTTTACTGCTTGCCTGTAGCCAAGGGACATGCCTCGGCTGGATAATTGGATCAGAAGGCTAGTGTTTGTAGCAAGTGTGACAATTCTTGCTGTGAAGCCAATTTCTGCAGCGATGCAGCTGATACAACATCGGGGCAATCTGTTACAGCGCCTTTGCTCCATGGGTGTCTGACTGATATAAAAAATAACCACAGCAAGAGACTTTCCTCAAGAGCGTGCCTACTTCAAGCACAAAGAAGCAAAATCAAGACCTTGTTCTCTATCTGAAAACAATTCAAAATGTTTTGGGGAAAAACTGCCAGAAGTGAAGCTCTGCAAAGTCTCTATCAGCTTACACAAATTTACCGTGCATGTTCTTTTCTTGAGATCCTTTATACTGTTCAGAAGGCTGTTCAGCTGCGACCTGGAACCTTTTGTTCTGCATTTCTATTCTTATTTAATTACAAAATGAGAAGTTGGCGGTAAGTTTTAACCCAGTTTATCTTGTACCTGCAAGGAATGTATGGACAGTAAACATTTTGTGACACTTCAGTCTATGTTTAAAAGTCTCCAGCAATTCAAGTCTTCTTACTTCAGTACTCTTTAGATGCTTAATTATTTTATCCTAGTTGCTGATTCTGTCGAATTTGTACAGTTTCTGAATCTGATGTGCCCTAAGACACTGGGTGAAATCCAGGCCCTGTGCAAGTCCATTTCAGCTTGTGGCTTCAGGAAGCCCTGAGCTTCTCAGGAGCTCTGATACTCTTTATACAGCGATGTCCTTGTATCTCTTTGTGATATGCAGGTTATATAGAACTAAAACTACAGTTACAATTGTGTGCGCTAAAAGTGACTACTAAGAACAGCATATGTGATGCAGAGGATGCTGCTTTCCCTCAAGCCATCTAATGATTTCAAAGAATAAATAGGGAAAGTGTTATATATTATTTTACATGCACACAGACTTGATGTTTTCAGTACCAGTCCACTGTTCACCATTTAACTAGCGCTTTCTCTTCCTGCCAGCTTTGTTTATCAGGTCAGTATAGCAGTGCTGATCTTCTGCCGTGATTGCAGGGACTGCTTTTTGTGCTTCCTGCTCTTACCTTTCCCTTCGCTGTCCTGTGTTGTGCCTCGCTTCCCCAGTTCTTCCTTGTGTTCTCTGAAATGGTCTCTATTCCCACACTCTCCTTAGGAGATGGCTCCTGGCAGGGACTGGGGTAAGGAACATGTTGCCTTCGGTCACCGTGCATGTTGAGTTGTTCCCCTGGTTGCTTGCTATGCTTCATTTTCCTACATTTTGCTGTCCATCATCATTTCCCTCCTCTTCCTACCAACAACACTCAGTGTACAGCACAGCAGTGAGCTGGGCTCCATCTGCTTCTCAGCCGTATGGGACTTAGCAGCTGCAGTTTGGTCTTCATCATGCTAGATGTTCCACAGGATGAGGTAGAGTGTAGGGTGATCTCTCAGACTCTTCTCTCAGGTAACAGGTGATAGGACAAGAGGAAATGGCCTCAAGTTGTACCAGGGGAGGTTTAGGTTGGACATCGGGAAAAATTTCTTCCCCGAAAGGGCTGTCAAGCACTGGAAGGGGCTGCCCAGGGAAGGGGTCGAATCCCCATCCCTGGGGGGATTTAAAAGCTGGGCAGATGAAGTGCTTAGGGCCAGAGTTTAGTGGTGGGATGGCAAGGTTAGGTTAATGGTGGGGCTTGATGATCTTAAAGGTCTTTTCCAACCTAAATGATTCTAGGATTCTATGATTCTATGATCTCACACTATTTCAAGGTTTCTATCTTGGAATAAAGTGTTGGAGGTTGTAGGCTTACAGTCAATTTGACACGCTAAAATACAAGTTGAGGGATGAATTGACTTAGCCTTATTGTCAGATGTTTGGGCAGCATTGTATAGCGTCTTGACTCTGTTCTGGCATGCTAGAACACAAATGTGCTTTATGGAGCACCAAACGCGCCAGCGAAGTGGTGGGTACTCAAGCAACTTCCCAAGCTCCACTGGGGCTACGTGAATGTCTCTTGTGGATGGGAGATATCCCATGCAAGGACAGTGAGGCTAAAGGAGAGTGAGGAGGGGTCACTCTGACAGAGCTTGGAAGAAGGCAGTCCTCTGCTTTTGAGGGCTTTGGAACACAAAGGCTCTAGTTCCTCGTTGAATTTTGAGTGTATTGAGAAGAGCAGCCTTGCTACATACAGTTTTTCTCGACCACATATCATGATTATCAGTAAAGCTGTCAAGAGAACCTTTGACATCAGCTTCATAAAGTGAATATCATGTTGGAAATTGCCTCAGGTAATTAATTAATTCTTCTGTAAATAGAAGGCTTGATATGCATCAATGGTGCTGTGGGATGTTTCTCAAGAGGGAAATAAACTCTCCAGCAGGGCCCGTAGCGAGCAGTGAAGCACTCTTCGTATGCAGGAGACTCATTATCCTTCCAGTTTAATTCTACCAAGAAACAAAAATACAGTCTTCATGGCAGTTTATATTAGAGTGAAAGTACAGCTGTTGACGAATCCCTCAGGGACGTACATGTCAGCTTGAGAGTACTCGGGTGAATATGCATTTCTCTGGCTATGGGATAGAAACGGCACAGCCTGCCCAGCCTGGCTGAGCACTGCCATGCTCTGTCGTGCGTGGGGTCTTAGGAGTCAAGTTAGGAGTTGGTAGCACCGTACAGTCACATCAGCTCTGCAAGCAGTCTTCCTGCACTAAGTCCCAGAGTGCCTCTTTGCATGGGGTGTTGGAAGGAGAAGGCCAGAACATGGTGCATTTCCTGCCTGTGGTGCTCTCCAGGTACAAATAAGACTCATGGTGGTGCTGGCGGAGCTGGCCTCCCATCTGGCAAATTGGGAGGGTATCATTTGTATGGCATATTTACTTGCTTTTCAGCACATGGCTTGAGTAGATATTCCCCAAACTATTTTCAAAGCAATCTTTTTTAATAACTGTTAAAATTGTTTCTCAATACACCGGTAAACACAGCGTTTTTTCAGTGATGTTTTAACTGGATTTGATTGGTACAGAGAAGTCAATTCCTTTAAAATATAGCTAATATATTTATGGATTTGAGCAGTATAGAAGGAGTACGGAAAGAAAAAAAATATCCTGCTTCTTAGTGCTAAAACTGTCTTCTCCACTGCCTCTTAGGTTTGGAGGGGCACTTTGGCTCGCCTTCGCTATAAGAGGACAAAGGCTGCCCTCACGATACTCAAGTATTACCGCCGCTACAAAGTGAAGGCCTACATCCATGAGGTTGCCCGACGCTTTCACAATGTGAGGCTAATGAAGGATTATGGCAAGCACGTGCAATGGCCCACCCCACCAAAAGTGCTACGCCAATTTGAAGAGGCACTCCAGACCATTTACCATAGGTACAGAGAAAACCTCTTGTCTTTTCAGGCTATCCTGGGGGATTGAACAGCTACTGCTTGTTCCATAAAAGTTGGAAAAATGACTGAAGAACATTTACTGGATGTCCTAGATGAAGATGTCAGTGGCTTTTGGTACCCTTGACCAGGCAAATAATTATTCTGTTTCAAAGATTTAGTCAGGATGGACGTTGTATTTCCTTCCTTGGCCCCTTTCTGGTTGTTGCAAAAGAAAAGAGCAGCTGCTGTTAGATGCGGGGGAGAGAAAAAGAATCTTTTTAACTTCGTCAAGACTTCTTACAGTGTTAGTACTTTTCTGCAGTAGAATAAGCAATGGTCTACTGTCTACCTGTATTCTATGTGCAAAAGAGGTATCAAATGCCTTTATTACAACCTACTGATATCTAAAAGCTAGTGACTTTTTCTCTGGTAGGTTGTAGACGAAGAAGTTATGATTCCAGTTTGAAAAATGATGACTTCTGAAAGTCACTGAACAAGAGAAACGTTGGGTGGATAGGACCTCTAGAGATTTCCAGTGCAGCCATCTGCTTGAAGGGGGATTGCCACTAGCACTAGATCAAATCAGCACTGGTTTTTTCCCCCAGCTGTCTTATGAAAGCATCTACAGCTTATCTGGGTAGAGAGTCCTGCTTTCTGAATAAGCTCAATTATCATAACTACAAAATTTTAGCTGCTAAAAGACTTTTCATAACATTAATCTTGGAGACCTGGTGTTGCTGTTGAAGGCTGGAGTGTGGTGTGGAGTGGCTACCCTGCCCTGTTTCATGTTACGGTTGGTTAGGTTTCAATTGTAGGGCCAAATTCAGCTATTAAAGGAGAATGATATTAATGAGCCAAAAAAAATGGGCTTGCAAAAACTTTTATTGCAAACAGATGTGCCAGTAGTTGACTTCTGGGTACGGGAAGGGAGTATACCAGCCAAACTTGTTAGGAGTCGGAGATTATATATGACTTTAAAATGATAACTGACGTTTCCAGCTTTATGAATGTAATGGAAGGACGACTTCTTCCCCTGACGTTTGTAGTCTAGGGCTGTCCTTGTTGTGCTGACTTGCCAGAAGTAGTCCTCATAGTGCATGGTACAGACTGTGGAACTGATTCAGGTGTTTTGTGCTAGGTGGAGAGCAACTGAACTCATCCGGAGTGTCCCACCAGAAGTCCTACCTCAACTGAGGGCCAAGGTTGCTGCCATGGAAGTGCTGAAGGGTCACAGAGCTGATATTGGCCTACAAAGAGCATGGGAGGGGAATTACATCGCACTGGTGAGTACAAGTGAAGTGATCAATGCAATGGCTGGGGCTTAGGATGCTAAAAGGGTGGAAATTTGAAAAAGTGACTAATGGTTTCTTTGGAGGGAGAAGTACTTTGAAATTTCCTCTGTAAATGGGTTTATATAGTTTCAGAATCTTTGACTTCTACTGCGCTAGGAGTGATTTTTCTGAATACTAAGCCTAGCTTGAGCATGACAAGCAGCATTAAAAGATAACGAGTAATGGCATCAGCTGGTTCTTCAAATGGCCAAAGCTAGGAAAGAAGTTGATGTAAAACTTAAATTCAAGATATAATGGGAGGTTAAGAAATAGCATAAAATGAAAAAGAACAAAGAAAGTCTCTCTAGGCAAGTTGCGTTGCTTCCTTTTAATTCATCCTTCCTTTAAGCATTTTGTTTTGTTAAGGCTTTTTTTCAGAAAGCATATAAAAGTCCAGATGCTCTGCCACTCTTCAACGAGGCAGAGACTGGAGGAAACCTTTGGACGGGGTGGGACCGCTGCAGTCCTCTCTGGACCGCCGTGACATAATGCAATTACTTTCTTCAGTAAGCAAGAAGAGTTATGTGCCTGCCTTTGCTCTTTCAGAAACCAGATAACCCTCAGACCACCGGCTCTTTCATCCCTGTTGCCAATGAGCTGAAACGGAAAGACAAGTACATGAACGTTCTCTTCTCCTGTCACGTCCGCAAGGTAACTGGCGTGTGCGTGGTCTGCACACACACGGGCTGGGTGGGGAACCTCCTTGTAGTTGAGGTGAAATCTTGGAACGCCAAGGGCGAGGAGGTGATCCTGGAGATGCTTTAGCAGATGGCAGTTCAAAGCTGTCCTGTTTCAGTATCAATGATTTTTTTTTTTTTTTGATGGATACATAACTCTGAACCTCTTGCACCAAAGGGTGCTTGGTGTGAGTGGCTTCTGTGGCATCTTCGTGTCGGAGGCATCAATAAATTCACTTGATTCTGTGTAACTGGTCTACATCTGAATTTTTTTGTAGCAAAAATTTTTTTTTTTGTTAGGTTGGTCAGAAGGTTTAAAATACTAGAAAAATGTGCTTGCATCATTTCTTTATGGGTAATTCATAACGATTAAACAGTGCTGGGTTTAAATGTCTGTCAGGAGAGGATATGTTAAATTTTACAAAGCCAACAGACAAAAACAATTTCAATGGCAGGCCAGGGCTGCTGATGTTTAAGTGCTTTTAAGAAGCTGTATATTCTTTTTATTTCTAAAAACGTGCTATTGCAGTTGGTCCCCACTTGCCAGAGGTGGAGCATGTGCATGATTATTGTTTATGATTCTGCAAGTATTATATTGAACAGAAACAACAAATTCATTTTGCAGCATAAAATCTCACTTTGTAACAAAACTTCTTTGTTAGTGGTAATGAGTTATCTTATTTATTCAACAGCGATTTGTATATATAAAACCAGAAATCCTTTACTGCTTTCCAAACAAAAATATTTCGGTGGAATATTCTGTTGCTTTTAACATGTTCTCTTTGAGAGCATGGTTCGCTAGTTGAGTAAGAGGTTTGAGTGAATTTTGGTCTATACTGGTAGGTTTAAAGAAGGATCAAGTGAGTCTGCATCCAAACCTCTGCTTTGCAATCTTGCAGCAGTTTGGCTGGAACCTCTGTTAGGGACAAGGAGATACGGGAGAGTTTCCCCCTGGCTTTTTTCACTTTAGGCTGAAAACAAAGTAATTCCTCTTCCAATTCATTTAATGAACTTGTTCCAAATTGTTGCTGTTTCTTGCTAAACTGGAATAACTGTAAAAGTACAATATTCAGTTCTTAAAGATGTGATTATAGGAATGGTTGTTTTGAATGGGAATGGAATGATGGTGAGGGGAATTACTCGGTCTGCTGAGGGTGTACATTGTATGTATACCCGGTGGGGGAGTTTCATTTTGCTCACTGTTACGCAGCTTTTAAGTCGTTATGTTTCTCTCACTTGCTCCTGATTCAACTTTGAAGGACAAGCTCCTGTGCAAGCATAAGGGAAAGCAGATTTCTGAGACACAGATCCATACCTTACCCTGTTCAGTAATTGCAAGCACAGCGCTCCTACCTTTAGGCAAGGGTCTGAGCAGGTTTTTTTTTGTTTACGGTGTATGAAGAAATCCTCAAGCGTACAAACAGGCCTTGTTTCTATACATCCTGTTACCATGTTTACCTGCTGGAAAAATCCATTTTCTGCTGGGATTTGTTGCGTTGGTGTCCCAGCACTTTGATAATAAAAGCAGTCTGAAGCTGGAAGAGGTGTTACCTATCATAAAGTGGATTTCTTCCTGAGCCTGAAAGGTTACTCTCAGTGCTTTCAGAGGTGAAGAAAGCTTTAGCTTACCATGGGTGCTTTAAAAATGTAGCTCAGCTGAAATCAGAAAATACTGCAGAGACTGCGGGGTTATAGACATGCACTCTTGTGGTTTTAAATTACCTTGTAACTTTTTTGATCTTTTTAAAGGTCAAATTGTTGGTCGCTTTCCTCTATCAGAGAGGTCAGGCTTAATCCTCCACTTGCCAGCTTAGTTTGGGATCCCTTTGCATGGCTTTTGAAATCATCAGTAAAGGAAGCATACGCGTGAGCGTGGCAGTAGAACACGTACGTGCAGAGGCAGCGGGGCTAAGGTAGGAGAAGCTGACCTGCAGCTGCCAACAGAGAAATGGGCACAAAGCCATGGGTGATGGGTCAGCTGGCACGGGGGAACGGCTCCTCATCCGCAACCCAGCTGTGCCCAAGTCTTTGAGGTCATTAATAGTTCCTCTGGTCTTCATTCTTAAGGATGTGTGTTAGACGGAAAAAATATAGTGAAATTTAGTGAAAATACAGCATCTCCTTTAGGAGAATGATGGTCTTAAAGAAGCAAATAGGAGCACCTCTCCTCCGACAAATGGATAAAATATTTTAGCGTTGCTGTTGTGCTGTTGAGGACAAGACTGCAACTCTGTAGGATCTTTAATGACGTGTGTAAGCCTGGCAATTTCAGTACATCTCCATGTTTAAACTCAAAATCAAATGACTCCTTTGGAATCCATGCTTGGATGTAGTATCCTTTCTGAGTGAAGCATTTGTCTTCCTTCTTGTATGGACAAGAAATGTCCAGGCAAGTCTGAAGTGAATGAAGGACAGAATCACAGAATCATTTGGTTGGAAAAGACCTTTAAGATCGAGTCCAACCATTATCTGTCCACCACTAAACCCTGTCCCTAAGCACCCCATCTGCCCGGCTTTTAAATCCCTCCAGGGATGGGGACTCGACCCCTTCCCTGGGCAGCCCCTTCCAGTGCTTGACAACCCTTTTGGGGAAGGAATTTTCCTAAGGTCCAACCTAACCCTGCCCTGGCACAACTTGAGGCCGTTTCCCCTCGTCCCATCGCCCGTTCCCTGGGAGCAGAGCCCAACCCCGCCCCGGATCCCCCCTCCTGTCAGGCAGTTGTAGGGAGCGATAAGGGCTCCCCTCAGCCTCCAAGAAGACCAACAATCTTGAGCTTTGAAAGTTAACAAAACAAAGATTCAACATTTCAAGATTTACCATTTCATTTTCCAACCCATGCACTTAGTTAATCTTTTACGCCTTAAATCTGCACATGAGATTTGCAGACTAAGCAACAGTGAAAACTGTTGTAGCACCCATAATCAACTCTGTGTTTTGACTGCAGGAACACAGTCTTTACCCTGAAAACAGCATTAGCCTTCTTTTACTATTCACATAAAACAACTTGTATCCTAAACTGTCTTTTTAAAACGAAAGTGTCACCATTACAAACTGTAGCGTTCTGCCTCTTACCCATAAAGTAACAGCAGTCGGAGGGTCAGCCTTCAGTGCTGTGGAGCAGGGGGAATTTCTTCTGATTGCTACATTCTTCCCTTTTCTTTTTTAAAGAATAAATAAACAAAATCATAAAGTTTCTTCCTTTTAGACTTTTCCTTCTTTAACTTCCCCATGTCATGCCAAATGTTATTTGCACAAGTGCGGCACTTGCTGTTGGCACGTGCAGGCTGCCGTGGTGGTCAGAGCATTCGAAAGGAAGAGACTTTCACTACAGAGAGGTTTGTCAGATTTCTTACGCTGAGCCTGGTTTGTTGTGGAATTGAAAATTGGCTATTACTGTTTGTTTCTCACCTGAAGTTTGGTTCATGCGAAGCTCGAGCAGGGGACTGAAGAGTGAGTTGTAGAAATGAAAATGTAATTAATTATCAGGTGATTTCAGTGCTTCCCTAAAATAATACTCTTCAACAAAGCATCAGTCCACAGAATAAGGTTGCTCGAGTTCATTCGTGGTATATTTTCATGATTCAGCTTATTTAAGCATTCTTGAGCAAAAAATGTCCTGGTCCCTTAGGCAGGAAGGTGTTACTGGTAACGAGAGAGCACTTTGGGGAGTTCAGGTGAATGCGTTATTTCTGGAGCAGCATCAGACTTCCTTTGTGGCATTTAGTAAGGTACCGAATCATCACGCCATGTGTGAAGTAGTTCTTGACTGTCAACAGCAGTGTTAGGTGTCTGCTCTTCAAAATTTTCAGATAATTGCAGTCTAATACATTTCTTCCCTTAGAAAGAAAAGAAATTAAAAGGATGACCACTGGGCAACTTGAATAGACACAAGATAAGCCTGGAGTTCATGTATTTTAAAATGTTTATATATAGAACATATCTTATGACCCGCAAGATATTTGCTAACCATTAAATTCATTGAGACAGATTTTTTTAGCTGATGATTGACATTATTCTAGTGAAGTCAAGGAAGTAATACCAGCCAGGGAACTGTTCTTGAAGTATTGAAAACTGCTGGTAAAGTTTTCTTTAGCTTGAGAGCATGGGGTCTTAATTTCAACAGCTTGAGATGAATAATAATGGGTGAATCTGTTTGGACCGAAGCTTTTATAGCTCTTTTTATAGAAGGTCTGTGAAGAGGCTTTGAAGTCTCGCTGATGGGAGGTGCATGTGCTTGCTTTCTTGCAGTAGGTGTAGGTAGAAGCAGGTCATTTCTGCCTATGGAAAAATCTTTTCTGAGCATTGTGGTGCTCATCATTTTTTCAAAGGAAGTTTTCAATTTTTTTGCCTTGGGAAACCAAATGCATATTTCATGCGTACCACCAGATTTTGTTGTATCACCTAGGAAACAACAGTTTCTTTTTTTTTTTTTTTTTTTTTTTTTTTTTTTTTAAGAATAAGGCTTTTCTTCCCACTTTCTCCCTTGTCATTTATGGCACCAAGCTCCTGTGAGAGGACCATCTCTTCCAAAGCCCCATGCCCTGAGGTGTCCAGAGGCCCCCGGCAGAGACCTGAAAAGCTCATTCGGAGGTTTTTCTGCTATAGGCTAGCCTTTCATTTTACCCATAAGCTAGTCAAGAAGTTAAATTAAGACTGATTCTCATTTGGATCAACAAAGATATAAATAAAAAATGCCCAGAAGGTGCAGAGAACACAATGCTGGGAAGGGCTGTTCTCCAGGATGGTATAAGCTGTATCTGAGAACATAAGGCCTGTCTCCACTCCTACAAACTCAAAAGAATAATGGCATTTGCAATGGTGCTGGCATTTGTCTGAATCTCTTCTGTGCATGCTTCCCAATGTGACAGTTTACTTCTAAAAACACAGCATGTATTATTTACATAAATATGCCATAGACGCATGAGACACCTGAAGCAAAGCGATTGCTTGGGAAGGGCTGAAAAGGACATGAAGAGTTCCAGGGCAGCAAGAATTTGCTTCTCACGTAAGATAAGCTGCTGGACTTCCCCTTCAGTACATCTTTGTAGCTGCTCAGCTGAATTTATTGTTCAGCGTGAACACGCTAAAACCAGTGGGTAATCACAAGGAAGAAGTGGAATTTAAAACGTGCTTGTAGAACTACTACAGTATTACATTGCCTTGTGAAAGCTGGGCATGCTTCCCGTCCCTGCTCTCCGGGCAGTGGCTGCAGGACCTTCTGCGGTGGGGTGGCTCTGGTGGCGCAGCTCCATGGGGTCTGCTCCCTTTGTCACCATGGGCTCTATGCTGGAGGTGGGCATGGGCAACAGGGAGGATGTTGAGATGGAAGCAACAAACAGGATCATAGCAGTGAACAGGTGGTGTTGTCAGACTCTTTAAAAAAAATCAGAATAAATCAAAAAGACATGTTTGGGAACCATGGCCACACAGCATCAGATGTAAGGTCTGTGTGGGGCAGATCACAGCCTCACAGACTGGAGAAGCCTTTCCTTAAACTCCCAAGATGTAGAGCATGGTGTGCTGTAAGCTGCACAGCCAAATTATGCTTCGAGGAGCCTGTGCTACTCTGCTCAAACAACTCAACGCGTAGCACCAGACACTCCTAACCTACTTTCTTTGGGCCATTCAGTCTTTCATAGCCTTTATTTTTTTTCTCCCATTCATCTGCTTCCTAAAATAATCCCAGTTATTCAGCATCTCTTCCTCTGAGATTTTCCAGGCCCTTAATAATTTTTTTTTTTACCTTCTCTGAACCATTAGAGTAGCCTTTGTGTTCACCATCCCCGTGCATCACACACTGTTCCAAGTGAGACTGTGGCACCCAGGACGTCATTCCCCATGCTGGTCTTTACTGCATGCTAACGCCTTCCTTCTTTTCAGCTGCCTTGCATGTTTGTGCCTAGATCTATCCAGAGCTGTCTAAAATCATCTTCAGTTACTTTTTCTGAGCTGGTGCTGTTAATTTAAAGCTGTCATATCGCTCTCCAATTTTCATTTTTTGCCTTTATCTGATCTGAACTTTGCCACTCTGCTGCCTGTTGACTGAGAATATTTAAGTTCTCCAGTAGTCTTCTGACTTCACCTCGGAAAATCCTATTTATGTTCATCCACCTCATCACGTCTCAACCTTGTCTGCCCTTCTCAGTTGATTAATAAATATCTCTGTGACTGTGATACACCGATGATTCCATTTTTGCCTCAGTGAAAAATACTTTCTACTTTGTGTTCTACTATCTCACTTGCTTTTGACAAAACTTTGCATCTTGTGACTATTTAGTACCCACCCTCTTGGGCTATCTCAAAAGTCTAGATGGCATCAGATGTTCTCCTTTGGTGTAATATTTCCTGAACAAATTAACTGTAATGTTAGTGAGATGTGTGTTTCCTCTGTGAAAACCCACTTGCTGGAGCCTAATGTTACCAGCAGTCTGGAAGAATATTTGTGATGAGTTGCAGTGGGATGGGGGGAATTGAAATGATCTGTGTTTAGAAAGGAGGTATGAATAAAGGCATGATCCTAGGGTATAAAACACTTCTCTGGAGAGAATATAATTTTATTTCCTGCCATAACATGATCCTCCCACTTCTGTTTTTGTAAACAATCATGCTAATTCCATAAGATGTGGAATAGTGATTTACTATCTTCAGTCTTCCTGGATCTTCCCCAGATGAGATGTTATGGTAAAGATACAACATTTAGTATCTTGTATCCTTGGACTGAGTACATTTTTAATAAACAGTTGCATATGTATACAATAATTTTCCAGAGGTGCTTATGTGGCATTTGACAGCAGTTTTGGTGATGTAATTTGCCAGGTAGTGGAAGGATGCTCTTGCTGGAGATCTCTTTGGTGGCCAAAACCAGACATGATTTCAGAATGTCAGAATACCTAGAATTAAGAGAAATTATGTCATTATATGACCACTGTACGTGGCTTGCTGCCAGCCATGTCTGTTACTTTGCATCATTGGCTGGTGCTGAAATCATCTCTTCTCCCATTGCTCTTACTACACAGAAACTTGATGCATGAACAGCCACAAAATGCTGGGATGTGGGGCGTGCACTTGGCTTTTCTCAACTGCACTTGATGAGGGGTTCATGTCTTCCAACAGTTCATTTTTACCTTATTGGAACTGTTATGTATAATTGGTAATTTTTAAAAAAAATGTTTTAGGGTTGATCCAGACAAAACCCATAAGTACACTACGAGATGAAGCTTATTTTCCCCATACACAGAGTGCCTGGATATGCAAACAATATCCCAGGTAGGATATTGAGTATTTTGAATTCAAATTAAAGTGAACCAACTTCTTGAGTATGCCTGAGATTATTCCATGAGGGTTGGGACATATATATAGATAATCTGTGCTGCTGTTGCCCACCAGTGAGATTGCAGGTGATAATATAGTGGTTTGCCTCAGCAGGCAACTAACGGTTCTTCACTGAATTACAGCATGTATCTATAATTGGTCTTAAATTTACAACTGTAGAGCCCAGTGACAACATTAAGATATTAAGATATTAATGTTTCCCAATGGTGACACTAAGATGGGTTTGCTGAACTACTAGAAACTGTCAGAATATTTCAGATGCTGTGAAATCTGTTTTCTTGGTAGTGTATGGGCTACAGAATGATTTAGGTGGGAAGGGACCTCGGGAGCTCTGTGGTCCAACCTCCTGCTCTGAGCAGGGCTAACTTCAGAGTTTCATGAGGTTGCTCAGGCTCCATCAGCTCTGAGTTTTGAAAATCTCTGAGGATGAGGGTTGCATGGCCTCTCTGAGCCCCGTCCCAAGGCTGCCACCCTCCAGGGGAGATTTTTTTTCCCTTGCATCCAGTTGGACTTTTTGCTGTTGCATCTTCTGCCCATTGCCTCTTGTTCTTTTCTGAGAAATGGAGCTCCATCTCCTCTGTACCCTACCTGTGTCAGAGGGTATGGTGATTTGAAGGTTGAAACACCTTTGCCTCTTTTTGGAAGCCAGTATTAAAGTTGTTTGAAGTGCACTATGATTTTCCTAGTAGTAAGTATCTTCTAGAAGTGGAGTGGGAGTCAGGAGACCAGAGTCTGAATTCAAAATAACCTGAGAATGGTACAAGCATTTAAGAAAAAACCAAAACAAAATCTCACTTAGTGGTCAGTTAGCCTCAGAGGTGCACAGATGCCTCTGGGTGCTTCCTTGTTTGGTCTAGAAGTTTGCTGGATGCTGTAGCTCTGCTCAGTGTGTTCCCAGAATAGCCCTAGACAGCGTGGTTGGACAGCGAGATCCTGTTTAAAGAATTTCTCTTGAGGAGCTTGAGCCCCCCTGTGATCTTTAGACATTCTTGCCTTGAAACCCATGTCCTTAGCAAAGTAAGTTAAAATATAAGTTGAGCAATGTCTACCTCTACAGAAAAATCTGTGGTACTCACAGTACTCTGCCACCCTCAGAGTGAAGAAGTTCTTCCTCATATTCAACTGAAACCTCTCGTGTTTCAGTTTCCATCCATTGCCCCTAGTCCTGTCGTTGGACACCACTGCAAACAGACTGCTTCCGTCCTCTTGATTTCCGCCCTTAAGATGCCTCTGGGTGCTTCCTTGTTTGGTCTAGAAGTTTGCTGGATGCTGTAGCTCTGCTCAGTGTGTTCCCAGAATAGCCCTAGACAGCGTGGTTGGACAGCGAGATCCTGTTTAAAGAATTTCTCTTGAGGAGCTTGAGCCCCCCTGTGATCTTTAGACATTCTTGCCTTGAAACCCATGTCCTTAGCAAAGTAAGTTAAAATATAAGTTGAGCAATGTCTACCTCTACAGAAAAATCTGTGGTACTCACAGTACAGGTCTGGCACAGCTGAACTGATCTCATAGCTTGCTGATGCTGAACAGAGCCATCCTGTTTTCTTCCCTTGTTTATCACTACCCAGAGCCT